GAAATAACAAATTTGACATTAAAAAAATAAAACGTAAATATAGACAATTAGACATAAGATAAAAGAGAAAATGTGTCGGGGCAATTTTCTCTGTAGTATTTATTATTGAGTGCACAATTTTTTTCTGACATAATGTTCATTCCTTTTTCTCGGGTGTTGGGAAAATTTCTAACGAGATACAAAATATTTTTTTTTTAATCAAGAATTATTATTTTCAAACTGGTTATTTGATTAATTTTGTAGTTAATATAATCATCCATTCTATTTTACATGACGCTATATTATTCATCAATTCATTATTTCACGACTGTAGCAAATATTCACAAACTTATTCTGGTGAAAAGCCTACAACTTGATTATTATAACAATAGCGTTTGAATATTACTTGGCTGGTACATATCACTTGTTGACAAATACACTCATGATTATATTGATTGAGATACAAATGTGTGTGTGTGTGTGTGTGTGTTTTTGTGCGTGTAGTTGCGGTTTTGTGGTTAGGTCTCACGGGGAATCCACCCTTTTAGAACCTCACGAGAGACACACACACATTCACACTCTCCCTCAAAATGTGAAGATGCGTTGGCTGCCCCCACCAATTTCCTCTTAATTTACGGCCACACCACGTTTAATTTCCAGCACATATATCTACAGTTACACCAAATATTCATACACATATTTGTGTACATACTGATATTCACACGTATAGAGGTGTTATTCGAGTCGAGTCGAAACTGACAGCTTATGTTTGAGTTCGTGTCCGTTTATATAACAGATCAGCTCGACTCGTCTTGTTTAATAAACAATAAAAAAGTTTGGCTCGAGTTGACTCATATAATAAACCTAAAATTGAAAACGAGCTGTTTGCGAACACGTCCGACTATGACTGTTTCATATACAAATCTAATCAAATGAAGATAAAATCAGTGTTCATAAAACATGTTTTGAAATAGAGAATTTATCTGGAATAAATAAGAGATTTTGTGAGGTGTACAGTAATGCTTTGGATTTTAATTAGTTGTGTTTGGACTAGTAAAAAGTAAAAACTCACCCCCCAAACTAAAATTCATGTACAATTGAAGTAGCTATAGTTAAATAACAAATCAGAATATGGGCAATATTTACATTTACATATGGAGGACGAGACAAAGGATAATACAGATACGTCTCTCACCCAACCCAACAGCTGTTGTCGCCTCCTAAATTAGATGCCTTTGCTGATTGCATTTCTGCTACTTTTTAACTGTTCAAAGCATGGTTCATTTTTTTTTTTTATATATTTTTTTTTTTTTCAGTTTTGGAACTCTAGAATTAATCAATACACAAATAGCAACTTTACAATGTGACAGAGCCGGTCCTGAAGATTTTTAGGCCCTGGGCCAAATGCAGTAAAAAGTTTGTAATATTTTTATTTCAAAAAATAGATTCATAAAAATATATCATATGATAGAAAATTAGTGAAGATTAAAAAAAAATACTTAAAAAATAACAAGAGGAATTGATCACCTTCACATTTTGTATGTGAAAAACGTATGAACATATAACAACTAAAGTTTCAAACTCCCTTTAACCTTAACCATATACACTATAAGAATGTGATGAAATTACAATGGAAAATTCCAACGGAAAATTATTTCAATGTAATTCCAACGGCATTTCTAATGGATATTCATATGCTTTTATTTCCGTTAGAATTTTTCAATGGATTCCAACAGAAATTTCAACAAAACTCCGTTGGATTTTGATAATTCCAACGGTACATTTTCCAACAATTGAAATATGAGTGAAAATAAAAATTCCAACAGAATCTTACAGTAAAAAATTGTCGGAATAATTGCCGCTGGAATGATCAAATTCCATCTAAATTCCAATGGAAAACTCATTCCAACGGAGAATTTTCGTTGGAATCATTACAACGGAAAGTATATCATTGGAATATCCATTGAAATTTTCATTGAAATATATTACCGTAGGATTTTCCGTTGGAATATGACATTTTTTTTTGTAGTGATAGTTTAAATTAATTGTACTCCACAATAGGCAATTCTAGTTTCATGAATCTTTATTGAAAATTTCGAGAAGAAAAAAGAATATTTATTGAAAAAAAAAACTAAATAACCATTTAAGAAAAATATAAGAACTAAATAAAAAATTAATTGTTAGAAATGGATAAACTCACATAACTCACTATAATATACATGCAAGGATTCATTAATAATATGCACCTTCACGCTAATATGATTGAATTATATACACACAACTATTATTTTTGATATATTAATTATTTTATTATTCATCCATATTATTTAATTTTATCATGATTTTTTCACATAAAGAAAAACAAAATAAAAATATACATAATGAAAATAAGTGAAAATAAAACTCAATTTTTTTAAATCAATTAATACTAAAATGTTTTTTTTTTAATAAATGGTGCCCCTCATAATTTGCGGGCCCTGGGCGGTCGCCCCGCTGGCCCAGCCCCAGGGCCGGCCCTGCAATGTGATTGGAATGAGAACCGAGCCTTAATAAGAATTGTGAGAAACCCGAATTTTAATTATATGATGAATTGCTTTGACTAATTGTGTTTAATTATTATATCTTATGAAGATGTATTTTACTAAAAATAGTAACACAAATTATAATGACAATTTTATAAATGATAGCACCATGTAATATTAAAATTACATTAAATACAATTCTCACGGTTCTCACAACAGACTAGTTTATATTCAAATTAGGCCATAGTACTGGATATAAATTATTGAATATTGAAAGATACAAATGAAGAATAGCTATTTGACATAAAAGTGGGTAATATACTAATATGTTCAAATTAATTATTTTGAATCTTCCGAGTTCTGACTAAAACTTTAATGTAATTTTCAAATTCAACCTAAAAAAATGTGGTTTTTAAAAAAATAAAGCCTATCCATCCCAATTGAATCCCCCTTGACCCACAAAGCACATTTCCATTTTTTTGGCCCAAAAGAATTACAAACAACAACAATAATGAATAAATAAATAAATTAATTGATAAATAAATAAATAATGATTGAGAAAATTGTAATTTTAGTTCAGTAACTTAGGCTGTTTCCCACTTTAGTCCAGTAATTTGGGCCGATCCAAAATTGGTCCAAAAACTTCCAAAATGTAGTTAAATTAGTCTAATTCCAGTCCCCGTCGCCGGAATCCGAATTGCCAACTCAGCACATTCCGATCGGATTCCGGTGACGGGGACCGGAATTGGACTAATTTAACTACATTTTAGAAATTTTTGGACCAATTTTGGATCGGTCCAAGTTACTGGATTAGAGTGGGAAACAGCCTAAGTTACTAGACTAAAATTGCAATTTTCTCATAATGATTAAATGAACAGGCATAACAGGTATAGGCACATCAAGATTTTCATGGTACTCTCACTATCCCTCAACCAGAAAACTTGAATCCTAACAGTTGTTGTTCATGGCAATAATGTGGGCCTGAATTGACAGTTTGGCTCTCATTTGTTCTTCTGTTGTAACTTTTTTCTCTTTTGTCTTCCATATTTTCATTTTCACTATTATTAATATACAAAATTGAGGCACATATATCATGTGGGTTCTCAATATTCTGCCTCATCCCAATATTGCATCATCTGCATCGTTTTGTCTCTTCCACCCACCCACCCTCCACCTAGGATTGTCTATACAAATCCTGCCTCTACAACTAAAGGAAAATATATAATCTCAACACAAAATAGAAACCATAGAAAGTTTAATATACACAAACCCAAAACATGAACCAAACTATACTTTTTATCAATTTTGTCCGATCTTTACTTTTTTGTATACACCAAATCGAAGTTCTCAACTCAATATTATTTTTAGTTGACTACAAAATCGCTGTAAAAAAATTCTCAAAAAAATTAAAATTAATTGCTTTATCTATGGTCATGTTGGAGATCGTAATGACAGATCTTTTAAAACCCATACCTTCCAAAATAATTATTTTAATAAAATTTCAAACGATATCTTCGAATAAAAATATAAAACTCAGAGAACAGAAAAATTGCACTATTCGTCTATTAATTATACTCGAATTGCACTTTTGTCCTTTAATTAATTCTTTTTTACTTTTGGTACACTATATTTTTTTTTTTGGCAAATTTTCTTCCAAATCGAGATTCCGGTGCACATTTTTGTCGGAAAAGTTGATGTGGCGCCCAGTCGGATCATATTTACTGTACACCACATCAGCTTTTTCGGCAAAAAATGAGCTCCGGAACTTC